TGAGTTTTGCATCTTTGTATTCTCTCCTACCTCTTCCTAACTTGCGCCAAGTATAATGTCTGCTCTACAGGAGATGATCAATCAATATTTGTTGGAAGAAATTGGTCGGTTAATGATTTCAACAACGGTGCCAATGAGATTCGCTCTTTGAAACCCAAACTTTCTCTTTTCTCCCCAAGTCAATAGTCAGTGCACCTTGAAATGTCTGGGGAACTGCCTCAGCTCTCCACTTCCTTCTGCCTGCCTAGCCCCGGCTCCTAGTCAGGTGGCTTCAGGAGGAAAGTCGCAGGAGAATGCCAAGTGAGGCCGACTTCAGCCTGACAGCTGCTGATCTTTGCTTTAGCTGATTTCCCCCTATGCAAACGGTTCATTGGCAATTGAAAACTGCAAATCTACTATCTGCTCTCCTATGTAAATTGCATTTACATTTAAATTGTGCATTCTTCCAAAGGATGGGGTTAGTAAATAACCGCAGATTAAACTTGAGGAGAGGAAATTGTGCCCCACGTCAAACCTGAGACTGAAGTGACATCTGGCTTGTACTATTTCTGTTATTTCAGTTTAATAACAGCATGTGGCATTAAGGGAAAAGAAATTGGATCTACATTTTAATGAAAGGAGGAAGCTCTCAGGGTTTAGACACCTTATCATGTTGAATACCTAGTCAATTGGCAATTAAAACTTACTTCCCTCAAGAACTGGAATAAAATATCTTTGCAGCCATGGAAGAAATAAAAAACTGAAAACAAGCTAATGCCCAAGACTTCACAGATAAAACCAAGGGAAATGGATGCTGTAAACATCAAAACCAAATATTTCAGGATACTGCAGAGTGCCAGAATTCTTAAACAGAATAATGCTGTGTGTAGAATCATGGATATATGCTGGTGGAATCTTCAAGAGAATAACCTCAGACAGAGTAGTCTGCACAAAATATGGGGCTCGACCCAACCAGACCTAGCCTGTTTCAATCCCCAGAGGCTCACCAAAAAAAAAAAAAATCTTTTAGAAATGCCTGTTTCATGCCAATAGTTTAAATGCTTAAATGGAAGTGGTTCCACCTGCTGTCTGCTTTTTTGTGTAAAGCAATTCTGGGAAATGTAAACAAAATGCTTGTGCATCTTAATAACCCAACCCTATCATTTATTTACTTTGATTGAAACAAATGTGTAAATTTTCAGTCTTTGTCTGGCGCATCCAATGTTTGGATGTTGGCGAACGTGTGTATTACATGTTTGTTTGGAAACTGAGCCACAGCTCTTGGAACTGTTGGTGGTGACGGGGCACCAGGTGCCAGAGGGATGGGATCAGACCAGCCTCGGTTCAGCAACCTCAGTCCTTGAGTTCTGGCTAAGAAAGAATTCGGAGCCAAGGCCCAAACTCTAACAGAAATTTTTTTTTTAGAAAGTCACAGAGGTAGAAGTGAGTCGCAGAAGAAATGGGCTCGGAAACGAGTTACAGCGGTGAGAGAGGGACCCTGGGAGCTGAGGAGAGAAAATGGTAAAGATGACGCACCTGGGAGAAAGAAGCGGGGTGCCGGCAGGGTGCAGGCAGCTCCCAAAAGGGAGAATGAGCTGGGCTTTCTATCTTGAGGGTGTTTATCTGGAGGTCTCTGTGGAGGATCCCAGTAGAATAGTCATCAGCTTTCCAGGTGTGTCCTTTCAGGGTCGTGGTGTCCACTGACTGGCGGGCACCAGGGCAAGGGGTCATTAGTCAGTCAGCTGGTCCTGACATCGGCCATGCCATGGGTGTCAAATTCATTTTCACCAGGGGCCACATCAGCCTCGAGGTTGCCTTCAAAGGGACAAAATAATTTTAGGACTGTATGAATGTCACTATTCCTTAACTGGTAAGGAGTTGAAATTATATTCATATTCGGCCCCTCAAAGACAACCACGAGGCTGACGTGGCCCCCAGTGAAGATGAATTTGACACCCCTCAGTCCCTGCGTTGTTGCTTGTCTGGTTTTGCAGTTTTTCTGGGCCTGGGGCTGAAATGCAAATGAGGCCCAGATGTTATCCCTGAGACTTAATGCTTCAGGCAGTGTAAAGGCAGGGCCCTCCAGGGGGCCAAATGAGGCCACTCCTCAGCCCTTTGTTCCTCCTTCAAGGGGGTCTAAGGCATGAGAAACAACCTGTCAGGGGAGGAAAGGTCAGGGAAGGGTCTGAACTGCATGCTCAGTGATACGAAAGGCCGAGGGGCTAAACCACACGACCAGCCACCAGCGTATGCTAGGGAAGGAGAGGGTATCTTGGGGGCGAGGTGCTGATTTTCCCAGTTTTGCCCATTGCTTAGGCACCTGGGGCTTTTCACCCTGGTGACCTATCCCTGGTCCATCATCCTTGCTCTGCTCATGTCTTCTAACTCCCTACCACGGAGCCACAGCTTGGGGTCACTTAATGAACCTCTCTGACCATGCACCCAAAGGTGCTCAGTCTGTTCCCAGCACCGGGAAAGTGTTGAAAGGGCCGTGTGGGTGAGTGTAAACAGAATGGAGCCTCCTGGGGAAGAGACGGGGTGTGGACACTCTCTGAGGATAGGGCACATGGATAATCAGAGTAATGGGAAACATTCATATAGTGCTTACTGTGTGTTATAGCGTGTAAAATGCTCAGAACAGCCCTGTGAGGTAGGCACTATTGTCATCCCCATTACAGAGGGAGAAAAGATAGGGAGACTTTAGTAACTTCCCCCACCTGACATCACCCAGCTGGAAAGGGACAGGCTGGGGGCTGATGACAGTGAGGCTGGCTCCACTGTCCCTTTAATCCCTTTCAGGTGATTCCTTCATATCCCTGGTATTTATTTACAACACATCTTTCCCAAAGTTACATTTTTGTCTTGCATAATTGCTTCAGCATAATTTGTCTTGCCTGGTTGTCTCAGCGGACTCAAGCTAACAGTCTAAGGGATCTTTCCTTAAACAAAATTAAGCAACCACAAAAGCTGGCCTTCTGCATCACAGAGGATATCTGGCCCAGAGTTCTTACGGAGTGCAGAAGATGAAATGAGATACGAAAGTGCTTTGAAAAGGCTGAAACCATCAAAATTCTGCAACTTATGTGTACTCTTGCCTGATTCTTACTTTTAAATGAGCAATTACTTAGCAAGTTAATATCGGTTGCTTTCACTTCCTCATTTTCCATGGAAGCTGTGGCCAGACCACCCACCCCTCTGCTACTGTGGGTTTCATCATGATGGCCCAGGCGCTGGACGTTTGGTTCCCCCTTCATCTTCCCAGTCTCTGGGCTCCATCTGGTCTGGTAGCAGCTCCTTCTCCTCACTCCTGTGTATGATGATAACTTCTCTGCCTCCCTCGACATTTTACCACGGCCGTCAGCCTATGAAGTCAACCAGTGCCTCCTTCTCCTTGACTGAGGTTAAATTAATCACCTGACTTTCACATCAGCCTGTTGCTAGGGGGGTTACTGATGTCACACTGTCAGTATTATGATTATCATAATATCTAACAGGCAAAAAGGGGTTGGTTGCTAGCGGGAACCCTTGGGGAAAACTCACTCGCCTTTAGTAACCAGCCCAACTGCATAGACTTTAGACAACCATGTAAAGGGGTAAGTGGATTAATCATCCAGTTGGATTTCATTTGACTATTTTTCTTCCATATGCGCGCTCCCTCCAGGCAATTGTCTAGTGTCATCTGAAATTGATGAGGGCTCTTTCGGAGGTTATTCTTGGGAAGGCGGTGAAACAGTGGACAGCTGTTCTCTGGAAGAAATGCCACGGGGTCTGCCTAAGCTGGCTTCCAGTTTAAAAACAAAAGGAACTGCGTTGTCCTTTCCCTTTCTAATGTTAGTTCGTTTCAGGTACCTGAAAGTGTTAATTCAGATTCTCAAATATGGAGAAAAGAGGAAAACACATTTATTAAGCACCTGCCATATGTCAAAATGTGACCCTGGCCAAAGAATAGCTTTAAAAGTGGAGATCATTAAGCTAGGAGTTCTCAAACAACCTTGGTATACACGACAATTCACAGCTTCTTCTAGCTTGTGTACAGTGTTCTTCCTAATTGGACATTGACTGATCACCCATAAAGGCAAAGTCATTACTTAAAATTGGTCCAGATCCTCCAATGCTGAGTAATTGTCTTGCAGTCATTTTCACTGTGATATTAAAAAGCCTGGAAACATGATAGAAATAAGGTTCAATAAATAAACCCCTAAATTAAAAATCTCTGTTAAAAGGTTTGAAAATGGGTCTGTCTTTCAACGGATTTTGTTAAGCAGGTGGAGGGGTCAGTTTCGGGGTATAGAGGGACCAACTGAGTGAGACCCACCCAATGTGAGGCCGCGCCGGTTTGGAAAGCCAGGTTGAGACGTGCGTGAATCTGTGTACGTCACTTTGTGCGCCAGAGAAGGAACAGCTGACTTTTTTTCAAGGGCCAATTCAACAATTACAAAGTCTTCTGGTGGTTAATTAAAAACTGCCATCGTGTTACACTCAGAGTTAAATTGCAAGTGTGAAAACTACTCCTGTTTGCATGTCTGAATGCTCTTTACTCTCTGTGCTCTCATCAAAAGGAGGGCAGGGATAAATAACTTATTTAACTCACTAAAGCATCTCTCCCAGCTCTTATATATTTAATTAACTTTTTATCTCCTCAGAGCTTGAGCCTTACTCAGAGCTCCTAAGCAGTAATAGAAATATGTGTTCATTTGTTCCTTTTGTGAAGAAGACTTTTCTTACATTTGTTGAATAGAAAAGTTAGAAATAATTGAACCCCAACATGGGGGAAAGTGACATCCATCCAAAGCCTTGTGTGAAGGCAGCTAAACCTGGAATAGACTGTGGCAGAAAGCAGCAAAAAGTGGTGATTCTTTCCTTTATTGTCTTTGCACTTCCAAGACTGGGGAGGTCGGCTTGTACACACTTCCTCGGACTGGTAACGTTTCAATTCTCATTTTTAAGCCTGTCTTGATGAATTCGATGTTTTACTATTTCAAAGTTTCCATTATCAGAAACGAGACCAAACTTCTAGCACCATGGTGGACGTGAAGTGTCTGAGTGACGATGAATTACAGCATGAACTTGATAAGCTTGGATTTTCACCTGGTCCGGTACTATGTATGTATGCAGCAACTGTTAGAGCCAAGACACTTAATAGTTATAGACCACCTCCAAAGACTTAAAATTATTTATAGTGGAAGAAACATATGTAATAGAAATCATCAAAATACTGTAGAAATAGGAAAACCAGAAAAACCGTAAAGAAGGGAAGGGGCGTCTTACAGATTAGTAAGGATGCAGCCAGACAGAAGCAGCATCTTCTTCTTCCTCACAGTGAAACCCAGTCACTCTTGATTAAATCACCCTGGGTTGTTTTTCTTTGTTAAAAGATTCATTTATTTGTAGAGAGAGGGAAGGGGGAGAGAGAGAGAGGGAGAGAGAAACATCGATGTGATGTGAGAAACAACGATCGGCCGCCCCTCACAGGCGCACCTGCAACCACGCCCACAGCCCAGGCACTGCCCTGACCTGGGATCGAACCAGCACCTTTTGCTTTGCGGCAGGATGCCTAACCAACTGAGCCCCCTGGTCAGGGCACCCTCGGTCGTTTTCCATTTCTAGTATGTGCAGTGTGTTAACTGTTTATGGATTTATTGTCCGTATTCCCCAGAGATAGGACTACAACTTTGTCAGTCTTGTCCTCAGATGCATCCAGCGCCTGACTCCATGGCTAGCTTGTGGAGGACTCACCTTAAGTGCCAGGGGAAGAGGCAGAGTGGGTTGAGTAGCTGTGGGGCCACCTCATTGTAAAAACCATCATAGTGTAAGCTACAAGAAGAAAGGTCCGAATTGTGAAATACCTTGAACCCGTTAAGATCTCATACTCCAACAGAAGAGCTAATCTAGTCTCTACCTTCTTCCTCAGCCTCCACCAGAAAGCTGTATGAAAACAAGCTAATACAGTTGTTGGTCTCACCTCCCTGTGCATCATCACCTGTGAAGAATGAACCTGGAGAGCAGGACGGGGCTCAGGGCTGTGATGACAATAAAGGTACCGTCAGAGGCTGTGCTGCTCGGTAGCAACTTTGCACTTATTAGCACTCATCCACCACGACTCATGCTGCTTTAAACGGCGTGCAGGGCATCTTGCGAGATAGCCACATGTCCTGTTTGCATGCAAGGCCTGGAAATAGGCCCTTGGGTTACAAAAGGAATGCTTAACACCACGTGTATATTCACACCAGTGACCCAACTGGGTGGCAAGTCAGGGAAAGGACTGGTCAGTTTGCATTTCTTCTTACTAACCAGAGCCAGGTCTGTGTTTGATTTCTAAAGCCAGGAGTTCCTGCAGGTAATTTCTGGATGTCCTTTGAGGTCTCACCCTCTACTTTGCCTCGATCAGTAAATTTGGTATTCTCTTTGGATTAAATGATTTCACATCCATTAAAAAAGGTGAACCAGACTGTACCTCCCTGTGTCTAGTGCCCTCCTGAGTTAAGGGCAGCTGACTACAGCTGCTGTCTCCCAGCCCCCAGGTGGGTGGGGAGCCATGGCTTCTGGGGTCCAAGGGCTTCCCCTTACAGTGGCGTCTAGTTCAGGCTCTTAGGGGGTGGGCTTCAGGAGTCCCACAGTACATTCCAAGCCTCCTCCATTCAGTAAATATTTATTAAGAGTTCTCTATGAGCCGCAGGAAAATTACAGAAAGTACCATTTATTGAAGGCCACCAGTGTATTTCCAGCCTAACTTGCATGATCTCATTTAAGCCTGACAACGCTCAGCTGCAGTTCAGAGAGGCCAAGTGACAGGCCAACATCACAGAGCCAGGAAGTGGCCCCAGAAGCTCAGCACCCATTAGAACATGCCCTGAGAGCAAGGCCCGTCTGTCCTCGTCACCACCGCATGTCCGGCTGCTGGGGGAGGAGCAGGCCCGCAGCAGGAATTCAGTGCATGTCTCTGGATGAAAGTGATGCAGAACTAAGATTTGAACCCAGATCTGGTTCTCATAATTGTGCTCTTTCCGCCACGTACCTTTTTACCTTCCTCACAATCTCTATTGTGAGGATAAATACATTATATTTTTTACCATGTTTGATCTACAAAAAAATGGCAGTTTCATATGTTCCAGATTAATAGTTCACCTGACAGTATCAGTGCCCCGTAAAGTCCCCGCAACGCCTGGCCTGAACGGTAGCGCAGGTGCTGAGAGCTTCCCCCAGAGTCTGGAGTGGCTTGCCTCATAGAGGGAGGGCAGAAAGGTTTGGGGGTGGATCCCACCGCCCCTGAGCAGGACAGTTAGCATGGGGGTGCCTGCGGGCAAGGGGCCACCCCAGACCATTTCTGGGTGTGGGATGTGTTCACAGTCCTGTCCCAGACTCGGGGGGCCTCTGTCCCCTGCTCTGGAAAGGAGCTGAAGGGGCTAGACCAGCCCTCTGATGAAATGCTGTGCCAGGCTGGAAGAGCCCAGAGAGAGATGCTGGTGCACTCACTGCTCAGGTCTGCTGAAGACTGCAGGTCAAAGCTGCAAAGTCAAGCCCATGGTCTCAGTCCAAGCTGCCCAGGTTCCCAGCACACAGCCCTCCACACAGCCCCCCACAACAGTGCATTTACACTAGGGCAAAGAAGAAAATCCTTTGGTTTGTAAGCTTTGCCATTGCTTTACACCGTGTCCACATGATGCTAGCCAACCGTGGGCAGTCCAGTCGGAGGTTCAGGCTCTGGTTCAGCCCTCCCCTTGTAATGCAGCTCGGCGATGTCAGGGGCCAGTGGTGGATACAAGTAGGAAACCTGCTTCTCCAGGTCAGGTCTGAACCAGGCATTTGAATTTGCTCATTGGAAGAGCCTCATAGGCCCTGGTGCCATTAGAATGGACCAGTGGACGTGGAACTAACAGGCTCCTGTGGAGACTCAGCCTAGAGCATTTCACAGAAATACCTAGTCCTGGGGTTGGGTGGTTGTGGGAGGGGCCAGTTCCAGACCTGAGGCTGGGCATTAGGGCATCCAAACAATGGGTGGGTTCGATTTTTCTCATTTTTGCTCATTGCTTTGGCAGTGGGTGGACATTGCTTTAGTGATCTACCTTCTTTTCAACCTTCCCAAATATTTTTGACTCAGGGGGCTCCTTTAAAATTCCCTCCATTAAAAGCTCACTGATGTGCAAGAGCACATGGTTGCTCAAGGTTCATGAAAATCTTCTCCACAGCCTAAAGGCGAGGGCTGAGCAACAACCTTTTTTGCCCTGGCGGTTCTCCTGATTTTAAAGCCTTTTAGCACAGGTCTGGCCTTCCCTCCCTTGGGTGCCTCTTTGGATACAGAAGGAGAAATTCTCTTGCCCTACCCTGACATTCAGAGACACGCATGGCTCGAAGGGGCAACGACTAGACTGCAAACGGCCGCCTCGCGGAGCAGCCAGCTCAGGCTCAGCAGCGGATGGTCTCAGACACAGGCAAACGTGACAGCCTCCCTGTCGGGACCCCTCCCCGTGCTCCCAGGGGAGGCCTAAGCATGTTCCACAAAGGCCTCCACGGAAATGCTCTTTTCCCTCAGACGGGCAAAGTGAGTTGTCTGCCTCTCCCAAAATCTGCCCTGCTGTGGATAGAATTCTCCCCAATGCGTGGTGCTGGTTTCCGTGGCTAGCTCCTGTGTGCTCATGGCCTGTTTTCTTTTTGTTTCCCACAATCCAGAGCTTAATGCCATTGTCATTGTGAAAGGAAATATCACACTCGCATCAGAAAAAAACAAGGGACCCAAAAAAGTATGTACAATTCTACTGCATGAATACTTTTACACATATTAACTGTAGGAAATAGCGCTTTTCACATGTGTTAAGTAAGGAACTAGCAAGACACTACGTTCTGTGGTGGTGGGAAACCCCCAGTTTAAAGAAGCTCACTTTAATGCAGGCTCTGCTTTGTGAGGTGGGTGCTGTGTCCCAGCCCAGGGCCCAGGGCCACGGCCCCTCCCTGAGGCAGAAGCCGTCCTGTTCTTCTCTCTAGCTGTCCTGCCCTCTCTGGCCTCTCACCACCTGTCGCGTGCATCCACACAAAGCGTTGAGCACAGTTCTAGACCCTCAAGGAGCACAGAATAAGTGTGAGTTCCTGTCCCCTACGCTTTCCCAGACGCTGAGATCTGGCCTCTGCCCCACCACCATCGTGGAGCCCTTGGCCAAGTGTGTGAGACTAGCAGGTGTGGGGTGATGCCCCACTGATTTAGTGTCCCTGCCCTTCCACTTGCCAGTTGACTCTGGGGAAGTCCCTTAACAGATCTGTACCCCCTCTCACAGCTGAGTTAGCAGTAGCTGCCTCTGAGGGTGGGTGTGAAGTGAAAAGTAGGCGAAGCTCCTAGCATAGAACACGGCACATGATTCGTTCACGTAATACTCTCCAAGGTATCAATGCTAGCGACTTTTTCTTGGTCCCTCTTGATTTAGAGTTATCTGCCCCCTTAGATTTTGGCAGCTCTGCTCTCTAGGTTCTGGACTCTGCTCCCCAACTGTTTCCATTCTGACTGTCTCTTTTGGGCCCTAAGTGCGTGCGATGCCTGAGCTCCCTCTCTTCAGCCCTCCTCTTGTCCCGCTCTGCAGCACTGCCCTTGGTCGGCGCATCCACTTACCGCTTCTATGCCGTGACCTGCCTATAACCCTCCACACAACCTCCCTCCTGAGCCACAAGCCTACTTCTCGGAAAGCTCCTTCCCTCCTTTCTGCACTCATCCAGCAAACGGTTATTTATAATTATGAGCATTTCACAGGTTGTATAAATGTATTTATACTTCTCCTGTGGTTATCCTTGGCACCTCACTCAGGATATCCAGGACAACCTGCATCTGTGGCCTCTGTTTATCTTTATGGTTCCACCACCTTCCCACTCTCCAGACTCAAAATCACAGAGCTACCTGGGAACGCCCACTCCCCACAGCTCCTTACATATAAACAGTTGTCAGGTCCTATGGATTTGAACTATAATTAAAAAAAAATCTGTCCCTCCTTTATCTTCCCACTGCTCCTATCCCAGCTTGCACTCACATTAATTTTGTTGTTGTTTATTTGAACAATTGCAATGCCCTCCTGACTGGTCTCCGCCTCCAACCTTTACCAACCCCAGTTCAGATCTACAAGCAGAGATTGACTTATGTCATTTATTTGCCTGGAAACTTTCAAAACAGGATGCAGACTTACTGCCCACCATGAAGAGACACCAGTATCTCCTCCAAATCTGTCTCCCTCACGACCGAACCCAGTGAACACTTTCCTTGTTTCTCCACCTCTCACACCTCTTCCTATGCACCTTTGCCTCAGTTAAGGCAAATTCTTTATGCCTGGAATTCTTTATGCCTAGAATTCTTTTTATTTTTTAAAGAAATCCCAAGGATTTTCCTTTTTATTGAATTTATTGGGGTGACACTGGTTAACAAAGTCATTGTACAGGTTTCTAGAATGCTTTTTATTCTTTCCACCCGCTCCCATTTATCTTCCTGTTAAAGTTCTGTGATCACTTAAGGAATGCCTCAAAGGCCACTTCTGTGCATCCCTTTAAACTTGCATCTGATCTCATTCAGTAGCTTTCACAGGGTTTCGCACAAGTGGGAGCCCAAAGAACACTTTGAAAGTCTACCAAACACTTCTAGTGACACATAGGTTAGTTTGCAATACGGTCTAGTATTTAAAATACTTGCTGAATTTAAATAAATGAAAGAAAACCCCAGGCAAACATTCCTGCAGTAAGCTGTAACTTTAGCTTTTCATCTAAACATAATTCAAATTTGATGAAGTAATTCTGATATCAAACTTTCTAAAAGAATTCTAAAAATCTTTTAAGTGACACCTCATTTCTACATAAAACTCTTCTGTATAATCCCTGCAAAGACATTTAAAGGAGAAAAAGCATCCCGAGTATTTAAAATGCATCAGGTGGGGCCAATGCCCTTCAGGATCTGCTTTACGTAGACCTGAAATAAAACCGCATCAATATTTTGAATTGGCAATAGAATTAAATAGAAAGTTTGCGATGGCATAAAATGTTTTGATCTGAAGGATTTATATGAGCCATTTGAGTCTCAGAAGAGCCTCAAGACATCTGTTCAATTTTAAATCCGAAAGTAAATGTAAATAAGCATTTAAATTTCCATGTAAAAGGTAGTAGAAAGTGTGTTTATTGAGACACTCATCTAACACCATAGACTTTAATTACGTAAGAGCGGTGGTCCGCACCTAACAGCTCTCTAAGCACCAAAAGGCAGCACTCGCATTTCTCTGCAGCACCAAGGAGTGTGTACTTTCCTCTCATTTTAGGAGGTGTTTAGTGCAATACACACCACCTGGAGATTGTGTCCATTTCTGGACACTTTTTAACACTGTCTATGTGGGTGTTATTAAATTATATAGGCAGCCCATTTGATTTGGTGATTAAGACCACTTAGAAAACCAGGTCAGTATTTTTTTTAATTGGGGATTTTTCTCATCAGACAGACTCTAGACACAGCTTAAGCCCTCGCTGATGGGGCAGGGAGCGAAGCTGATGTGTGTGAGCCAGACCAAATCCTCTGAAGAGGAGAGACGGGATTCAGGGATGGCAGGGGCAGAATAACAATGTCGGGCTGCGTAAAGTGGGGTTTCATGGGACGGCCATGTAATTTATCACCACAAACACAATGCTTTTGAGAATGAAAGGAGACACTAACCAGAAGGGATGCTGGGAAAACAGGAATAAAGCAGGGCTGTCCTTGCAAACCAGGGCATGTGGTCATCCTGGGTTTGGGAGTGGTTCACCTGGCACATGGGTCCGAGGAGGGCTGCTGCACTCACCTAACACCCAGAGGTGTGCCCCGGAGCCCCTGGTGTTCCTGTGCTCTTCCCCAGGTGTGACACGCTCTTTCTTGCCAGAATCAACATTCATTCTGTCCTCCCAGGCTGGAACGACCTCTCCTCATCTGGCCACCTAGCCTACATACTCTCCTAGGAGTTTCTCCAAATGTGTTCTGTGCGTCTGGCCCTAGGAATCTGCCTTTTCCATCCATCTTACTCCCACCCTCTGTCAGAGAGCTTTTGCTCTAGGTTTTAAAATTTTGATGGTAAGCCTATGTCTTTGAACCCTCTTCACTGAATTCAACGCCAGGCAGGTGGGGGGAGGAGAGTTACTCAGTCCCTGCTGGCTGAACCGAAAGGAGCTTTTGTCCTGTATTGATGGTGATGCTCTCTCTTTTTCTCATTTCCTATTCTGTACCATCTCCTTTGTCTCTTGGGCATACCTTAATGGAGCCTCTTGAGAGACAATGCTTAGGTCACAGAGAATTGATGGCCATCCAGGGAAGGTTTGCATCGGAGCTTCACCCCTGGGTCTCCCTCAGCCTGGGAGTTAACAACCCTCTGTCCGATGCAGGGCATTGTGGTAGAGCTGCTTGTTCCTGTCCCGAAGAAACAGGGACAGTAAAAATGAGCTCAGGAAACACAGAATATGTGTATCAAAAATGCAGACTCTAGAGCCAGACTGCCTGAGTTCAAGTCCAGCTCTGCCACTAACTTGGGCAAGACACCCGACCTCTGTTTCTTAGCTCCTCATCTATAAATAGGGACAATAATAGTCTCAGCTGCATAGATGTTGTGAAGATTAAGTTAAAGTATGTAAAACAGAGTAGTGATGGTGCATAATAGGAGCTGTCTAAGTACAAATAAGAATTATTACTATCATTAGTATTACTATTCTATAAAAAGCATGATCTTTAATTATCTGCAATACAAAGCAACATGCTTAAGTGAAAAATAATTTAATGGAAGCTGAGTTTTTAGTTTTGAACTCCTAAGTGCTACAGAATGCAGTTGATCAGAGTGCCTACAGGTATCCTTATACGATTAAGTATACAGATGCAATTGAAGATTATTCTCTGTGTGTGCCTTGCTTCCACGGAGCAGGGCAAGCATTAAAGAAGTCTCTGTGCCCTCCTAGTATATAGGATTCCTTCTTTCTCAATCCAATACTTAAATCCTTCCTCCCCTGCATCTTTAAACATTTTTAAAAATAACTTCACACTTAGAAAAAGTTGCAAGAAATAGTACAAAGAATTCCCATATTCCTTTTACTCAGATTATTTAATTGTTGCCTTTCACCACATTTGCTGTGTGTGTGGGTGGGTGTACTGTGTCTTTCTAAGTGACTCGGGAGCCCACTGTAGACATGAAGCCCTCACTTCTCGGGCATGCATTCTTCCCACCTGCAGAAGACGCTTTCCTGCACGTCCACCGAATAACACTCCAAACAAGGAAAGTCATGTCGATTCAACCCAATATTCAGACCCTTTCAGACCTCACCAACTGCCCTGCTAATGTCTCTGCTTTCGGGCCCATGACCAGTCCCACAATACATGCTGCCTTGGCTGTCAGGGCTCTCCAGTCTCCTTCAGGCCCGAACAGCTGTGCCTCAGCCTCTCCCTGACACCCGTGCCCTCGGCCATTTTAAAGAGTACATGCTTTTCATTCTGGAGGGTGATTTTTCTGTCTGATTTTTCCTTTTCTTTTTTTAAAGATTTTATGTATGTATGTACGTATGTATTTATGTATTTAGGGAGAGAGGAAGGGACAGAGAAAGAGAAGGAGAGAAACACCAATGTGCTAGAGAGACATCAGTTGGTTGCCTCTCCCGTGCCCCGATATGGGGGCCTGGCCTGCAATCCAGGCACGTGCCCTGACCAGGAATTGAACCGGTAACCTTTTGGGTTGCAGGCGGGTGCTGCATCCACTGAGCCACACCAGCCAGGGCTGATTTTTCCTTTTGACTACTCATAGAGGCCATGCCTCTGGGCAGGAAACCCTCAGAAACCGTGCCATGCTCTTCTCAGTGGACCACACAGGGGAACCGTGTCATCCTGTTCCAGCACTGGTGATGCTGACCTTGATCACCTGGGCGAGTCGGTGTTTGTCAGGCTTCTCCACGAGACCATCGTTTTCCCGTTTGTAATCAAACAGTGTTTTGTGGGGAAATATTCTGAAATGACACCAGTATAGCATTCCTATCCAAGCCTCATCCACTAGCCCTAGCTCCCGTAGATGACCGCCTGAACAGACCTCCATTACGATGGCCCGCTGAGATATTCCTGTTTCTGTTGTTCCCTCTGCATTTGTTGGTCAGCAGTCTACTGTGAGGAAGACCTTCCCTTCTACCCATTTCATTCATTCATTCATTCATTTGTTCTTTGTTTTGT